TATAACCCTATATTTTTAGCTTGTTTTTCTGGGGGGGGGTTTCAGCCCTAAAAATATCTCTGTGTAACCAAAAAAAAAAAAAACTCATTTCATCTGGGTTCTTTTTTTTTTCATTGTCTTCACGTTTTTTATTTTTTTTAAATATGGTAAAAGCTCAAAAAATAAAAATAAAATATGAGGTTGTAGAGCTCAAAAAGATGTACAACCCTTGTTTTTCTTTTGTTTTTTTATTATTTTTAGGCCGCGAAAAAAACCATCGCGGGTCCCGTTGTAACCCGTCTAACAGGCTTTCCAACGGGAATTCAACGCGGATTCAACGTGTGTTGAATCTTTCAACGTGGAACCCGCGTTGAATCGATTTTTGGACACACAGGCGTGAGGGGTTGACGTGGGGCCGCGACGGACTGTGGCGCACGGGCGAACCTGACGGGCATGCTCGGGCTAAGCGGGGTGACAACTTAACGTAGATGCGAGGCGACGGACTGCCCGCATCGGGACGTTGTGAAGAGAGAGAGAGAGAGAAGGAGAGAGAGAGAGAGAGAGAGAGAGAGAGAGAGAGAGAGAGAGAGAGAGAGAGAGACGGGAAGTGTGCGATGAGCTTCTTCTTTTATCCCTCTAAGTTATTTTGATTCCTTCTTTTTTCTTTCTGAGCAATTTTGGTATCCGGTGCAAGTCGCCTTTGTTTCTTTCGATCAGCATCTCGGAGCTTTTCCGCGCTCGTTTCTAGTAATTGAGACTGTGTCTCCCATTTTGTTCTCCGCTCTATATGGACGGACCCTATTGATTGGTTAATTACTTACGATCGAATTTGTACGATCCTGACGCATGAATGATTGTCACCTTCCTTTTTTTGTGTTTATGTATGCATAAAACTTGGCTTGTGGACGATGCGTATTTGTCTGTCACATGATTAGATGTTTATCTTGCCATAGGGCTATCCACCCTCGGTTAACAGGCCAGCACGTACAAGACCTGGGTCATTAGTCATTGTCTCTTGGACCGAAGGGCAGGCCTTGTGCACGCACGTGTAAGCCCGATCAGAAGAACGTGGCCTACACGTGTGCTTGTAGTGCCTGTGCTCGGTCCGACTCTTCGCAATGACTATCTTTCCGCCTTACCCCACAACATGAATATTAAACTCACTTTTCGTATTACTGACCGCGAGTGTTTGAGAGATCCAAAATTTTGGGAGTATTGGGAGCACGTGTCTCTGTCTGCACGATCGAGGAGAGAACTTCCTGAATTTTCATACCCGATGGGAAACGAGCGCATCTGGAGGTGGGATATCGATCGAGCTCGAGAGCGCATTCCCCACCACCCGGAATTCCCCAGCTCGTACACATGTCACCTTGTCGCGGAACCAGGAATAATTTTTTTGGAAACCGACTTCTTTCCCTACCACCGCTGTCGGGACAGAAACCCCTGTGAGGGTTTCTGCCCGAGATTTTCAAGGTCAGACATTGGCCGACTTTTTCGTTGAGAAACTTGATGAGATTGACGATGTCAAAGTTTATTCAGACCAACATAAAATGTTCGAAGTTGATGATGTTGTGGCATGATGATGGTAACGCTGATAGCATTATTGACGTCGTTGGCACCGTCGACATGCGGTGAGCTTAGTGTAAGGCGTCGTTGACATCCAGTTGAAGCAGCAGTAATGGATGGAATCACCATTGGCCGCGGCATTCGACGGAGCCATAGGCGTGTGCGGAAGTGGGGAGATTGGGATTAGACCCACACCACCTCAAAAGTGACGCGCGCGGTCGTAAGCCGCATGATTTTAGGGCTTGGAGGGGCTCCACAGATGAGCGCGCCATGTCCATAGTGGTGGCATGCGTGCTAGGTTGACGGGATGCCACCATGC